TTCATGTGAGAGGGAAAGAAAGCTCTTGGAGTTATCCAAAGTTTAAATCCTATCCTAAATGAATATTCTAACTTAGACCTGCTTAGGAAAAGACATTTGTATATCTCAGTTATAAGGCCTATATTCACATATGCGTCCCTCGCTTGGGTGACAATCAGAGATAACGATATTTCTAAGCTGCAAGTTACACAAAATAAAATGTTGCGTACTTTTACAAATGCATACTACCTTGTTTCTAACAAGACATAATATAAGGACTTAGTAATAGACATAATATAAGGACATAATAAGGACTTAAAGATTGAAATGGTCTTGGAACATATCCCCAGATTAAACTCAAGCTTCTTCCAAAAGGCGGTCAAATGCCCCCACTTGGAAAAATTAAAGGTGTTTGACTATAGCAAACTACCAGAAGACAAGGAACTACGGCCGCTTGCGGCTCATCTAGCAAGAGAAATGAATTTCCCTACTTAATGTAGGATAGTGCTGTAAATAGTTGTAAATAGTGTACATAAATTCATTATTAATCTTCGTCATATCATTATTTAGTGTTTATCCTTATATGTATCTTGTAGCCAATTATTATTTTGTATTTATATATAAATGAAATGTGTCTTCTTGAGATCTTGTAGGTTTCCCTGCAATTTCGCTTTGTCAGGACTTTTATTTCACAGTACAACAGTACAAACTCATGATTGAACTGCCCACTGTTTCGTCTCGTTGCGGGCTCTATTGTATTACCTCATCTTAGGCTTGCGGCCTCTTGTTGCCTCTCTTCTTTCACCACCTCAATGCCTTAGCTTACCACATCAGAATATTTAAAGTCATGTGCCTCTAAACAATCATATCTAAAGTGGTGCCAGACACCAGAGTACCTGGGTATTACTAACCCTACCCCTCATCGAACAAATTATAGTATAGTTTCGAATATATGTGAATTATAACTGAATACATTAACGAACATATCTTAAAATGCTGTGGATATACATAATTATCAGGTAATGGTACATAATTTTTTAACAGCGTATCTCCTAACGGTACGGTAACTTAAAGCAATAATCTGGATAGAAAGCCAGTCAAGCACAGAAGCTGTCGAGTGGTAGAGCTGGAAAGAGAACATAGACAAACATGGCAAAACAAAAGAGGTAAATGCGCTACTTTGGTGCCGCTAAACTGACAACATGCATAACACTAAAAAATAATATATAACACAATAACAGTACAGAAATTTGTAGATTATATATGTATAATAATAATCAGTCATTACACACAGAAATTATGGTAGGTTAACACACATAATAGCCCGCGGGCGCTTAATATTCATAGGATTATTTACATCATAGTTATACTTACTTTATCGCAGGATTGTCAATAGCCTCCTGCTTGTCATAAAAATTACGCGATAGGCGGCTGTAATAATCCTTGAGTTCCTCAAGTTTTAGCTCCTTGTGGAGCTGTCTATTCCTAACATACCAGGGGGCATTGCAAATTTGTCTAATTGCCCCATTCTGGGCTGCTTGCAGTCTTTTTCTAAGTGATTTACAAGAGTATGCCCATACCAGGCAGGCATAACTCAGAATGGGGCGTAACATAGATTTGTAAATGAGCAACTTGTTATCTCTAGATAGAACGCTGTTTCGAGCAATTAAGGGAAAGAGTGAAGCTTTACTAGCTCGAAACTTCTTGATAATATTTGTAATGTGTGGGTTCCATGTAAGAGATTTAGTGAGGATCACCCCAAGATAAGGGACCTGCTTGACCCAGGGAATGCTTTCTCCATACATCTGCAGGCAGACTGGAAATTTCTTTTTTGTTGTAAACAATATAGCATATGTTTTCTCAACATTAACCTTAATTCTTGACAAGCCAAGCCTCTAATGCCTGGATGTGTTCTTATAAGTGTTGTATAGCTGAACCAACAAATGCGCTTTGTGTAAGGATCGCAATGTCGTCTACATACATTGCGAGTGTCGTGTTGGGTGTAGTGGGTATGTCGTTCACATAAATGTTGAATAGAGTGGAGCCCAAAAGGGACCCTTGTGGTACGCCAGCCCTTATAGGGCGGCTGGTGGATAATGTGCCAGAAACGTGAACGACAAAGTGTCTACCTGTTAGGTAGGATTTGATTAGTGATGTAGCCTGGTAACCCCAGGTTGTGTAACTTGTATGTGAGGGCATCTAGCCACACACGGTCGAAGGCCTTAGCAATGTCTAGAAACAGACCTCCAGTCAGTCTGCTTCTTTGTAAGCCATCACTGATCATCTCCACAACTCTATAAAGCTGGGGGGTGGTTGAGTGCTTCTGACGAAAACCGAATTGGTATAGAATGATGACCTTATGCTCCTCCAGATATTTATTCAATCTGCTCAGTATTATTGCCTCCATTAATTTACTGACAGAGCTCAGGAGGCTGATAGGACGATAGGACTCAGGTGCGGTGGATGGTTTGGGAGGTTTCAGTATTGGCGTAACTTGAGCAGTTTTCCAACATGCCGGAAAGTGTTGCCAATGTAAGATGCAGTTAGCCAGCTTGGTGAAATAACATATGGTCTTTGGTGGAAAATTCTTGATCATCTGATTGGAAGTACCGCCCAACCCTGGGCTCTTTTTCCTTCTCAGCCTTTTGATGTAACTGCAGACCTCCGACGGCATGACTAAGGGCCCTAGTCTGGACACCTTCGAGATAGAAGAACGGGTCGCTTTTTGCGATCTACTCGACAGAGAGCGAGTCTGGTGTCATCGTCTCAATCATTACAGAGGTCGACGCGTCGGAAATTTTTCCGTCAGATGGTCAGCTGCCGTTTAAGTTTCTGATTGTAGTTTTAGAGCTAAACTGAGGACGGCGGAGGTCACGGATTATTTTTGAAAGTGTACGTAATAGATATTTTAATTTCTTAAGATTTGTGAAAAACTCGAGTATTTCGCTATAGAAATAACGCATTTGATGCTGACGATTCTACATTATTTATTTTTCTACATTACCAATGCCTTAATTAAATTTTAGTGAAAATAATATATTTGGTGTTTTCCTATTTCACATATAAAGAAGGGGTGCATACTTTTAATTTAAAATTGTAATTTTTAAACTAATGTATATATCAATGTACTTAATTTCATGTTTTGATGAGTAATTTATAAATTTTGAAATTTTATGTTTTAAATTATAATGTATTTCCCTCTACTTTTATTTGAATTTGTAGTGTAAAAAATGTAATACATTAGACATGCATTAAAGAATATGCAGTATACAATTCAAACTATGCACATCCCAAATTCAACATTTACATTAAATTGCTTTGAGTTAAAAAATTTATTTAAGTAGTTTTAACTGTACCGATATAAATGTCAATTTCCAATAGTTTCTAGAATTTCTTGTATAAAACAAGTTAAATTCCTGTATAATTTTCGGTTAAATTCTGGTCAATATTATAATGCAAAATTTATAAGGTAGTTATCACATTTTTTTAATGTGGTTTACTTTTAGATATTACATCAGTTTTGTGTATATTTATTCAGATCTAAAAAGTGCTTAGTTTTAGTTTTTGTAATTACGGCAAAGCCTCGAGGGCTATCTGCCTAAAGTGAGGGTTGCCTTCGTGGAGGACATTCTAAGGAAAACTAGCTCGTATACACGTAACACATGGGAAAAACCACGAAAACGTCCATGCAACCAGCCCATTCGCGGGATTCTAACCTTGGACCGAACTTCTTTTGTTCAGCAATTTTACCGGCCGCTGGTGGGATCGATTTAAAATGGTATAAATATATATGTACTGCAATTTCTTTGACTGCATCTGTTAATATATTTATACAGTTTTATATATATATATATATATATATATATTTAAAACAGATTTTCTGTGCCTTCAACTTCTATGCTTCTGGAAGTTACCAATGATATATCTGTCATTACCAATGATATATTGGTAATGACGCCCATGCGTCCAGCCCGTTCGCGGGTTTCGAACCTCGGACCGCACTACCAGCTTTAGGAGATTTTACCTCTCGGCCACTAGTGGGATTGACTTAAAAACGGCATAAATAGGAATATGTACTGCAATTTCCTTTCACTGCATATACTAATATATTTATAATACATTTGTATATACATATAGTTATTTATTTAAAGAGGTTTTGTATGCCTTAATTTTTTATGCTTTTGGAAATTACGAGAAATATGTTGGTAATGACAGATATATTGGCTATCAGAGATATGTTGGTAATGCAACAAACCGATTCGCAGTATTTGGACCTCGGACCGAACTACCAGTGTTCAGCAATTTTACCACACGGTCACTGGTGGGATCGATTTAAAAAGGGTATAAATAGGAATATGTATTGCAATTTCCTTTCACTGCATATGTTAATATATATATATATGTGTGTGTGTGTGCAAGATAATATGTTTTATGATTTAACCTATAGTTATTTATTTATTTTTATTTATTTTTTTTTTCCTATTACTTTTGTTAAACGTTTGTTATATTTTTACTCACTGCTTATTGGTATCTACGATACATAGTATATTTGTAGCTACGTGATAGGTATAATTTCCTGAATAAATAAAATTATTGATATAATCATGGGTTGCTAAAAATTAAATTTTTTTTATTCAAATTCATTAGGAATATTAAACACGCGTACGTGGTGCTATATTTCAATTATTTGACTTATGACGTTGTTGCATAACCTTTTCAGACAAAATAATGTATTTTAATCCTAAAATTCCTCTTAACAAATAGTTCACAAACATGTAACCTTTTAGAAAATTTCCATTTTGCAAAAGATCATACGTAAAATTATGTTACATTTCTCACATACCGATTTTGAAAAGCCATTCTTTTCGTTTAAATACATAACGCCCCTTTTTTTTCCAACTCTTTCTAATTAGCACGTTTTTCGAAATTTTACCTTTACGCGATTTTTTTTCTACGCTCCCATAAAGCCGGGAAGCCCCTTACAAAACCTTCTGAGCTGGATAAGGCTACTATAAGGGAGCTGAATCATCATCCATTTTGAAGCTAACTTGTTGGTATTCGCTATTGGATTAGCACTGATTTCTTGACATATTTGTGGATCGATTCCGACCTAATTTTCAGAAAAATGGGTGGTTGTGCTGCACCAAATTGTTCGAATCAGTCTAAAAATAACTTTAGGATGTTTCGTTTCCCTAGAAATGAAGAAAGACGAAGAAAATGGATAGTTAATTCTCGTCGAGATCAATGGATCCCGGGCCCAGGAGCGTATCTTTGTGAGGTAAGTTCAGCTTCGTATTTTTCCATAGAATGTTAGAAAAATTACTCTTCTTGGTACTTTAAAATATTTATTTTCATTTAACTGTCACTTATTGACGATCAACTGATTTTATAAGTACAAAATCAACTGCGGAATGTGTATGTGTTTTGTGCAGTAAAATATCGTTGTTTCATGTTGTTTCTTTTGTTATCGTGAAAAGTTTATACCGTTTGTAAAATTTGTATCATACATTTCATGTAAACTTTGTGCTCAGTTAGAAATGTGATGTGCCTTTTTCTTTTCTTTAATTTTACTGTACGATTGGTGATTTAAAGTAGCATTCTATGTTTTGATTCTGATGTATTGTCGCCAAATCGGATAGTTGGCGCCAATGTTAAAAACTGGATGGTATGATCCAAATAATAAATGATTTTTTGTTTTTTCTTTATAGTAAGATAAATATATTCTGTATTTTTAGACATTTTTAAGAAGTTAAATATTAATTTAAATATTCGATGAATCGTTTTGATCCCATTATTATCCTTTATTGTAGTAGTAAATCTTAATGTTGTATTTTTAACTATAGGTACTTTAAATTTATTTTTAGTGTGTGAGCAGGAAATATGTTTTAAGTAGTTTTTACAAACATGATTACTTTTTAAAAATTTTGTTCTATTTTCATAAAAAAAATTTTAAATTTATCAGAAAATTACATTCTTAAATTATTATAATATATGTAACTGTAATTTAATAAATACTAGTGCTTTTGATTTTAATGTTAAATTTCATGCATGCTTTTGTTAAATATGCAGGTACATTTTGAAGAAAATCAATTTGAATGCTCTAGGCAAGATGGGCGTAAAAAACTCAAGCCCAATGCTGTGCCAACTCTTTTCAATGTGCCTAATCCCCCACAACTGTTGACCCCACAGCGTCTAAAAGGCATTGGTTTACCAAAGCACCGTTCAGTTACATCCAATTTTTGTAATGTATGTGTTTTTTATTTTTATGGTTTTTCATAAAAAAATATGTTGTTTTTATTACAAATGGACTAAATTGCTTTATAAAAGAATCAAAATATTGAAATTAAGGCATTATGTGATAAAGCTGTAATTACAGTCCCTAAGATTAGATTAAAAAATTAAAATTTTGCTGTTGTTATATATATAATTAAGTATGTACTTTGTTATTATAATCATATATTGAAAATTAAGCATAAAACCTCAATTTGATGTAGTTTTTGGATAAAGTTTTTGTAGTTTTTTCGAGGACGGTCATACATGGGTCTGGTTTCTTCGTTTCTTCAAATTTGCTCCTAAAAGAAAGAAACCGGTATCTGATTGCCTTCAAAGTCAAAAGAGTTTAAATCAAAATTTGTATTAAACTAAAGTTGCTTTTTTGCTTAATTTTAAATTCCAGATAAATAGAGAGAAATATGTATGGAGTAAGTAAAAGAAATAATATTGAAATTAATAACTTTAATCTTGAGTAATACAATAATATAGTTATAATACATTGATTTAAATGTATATTTTAATGTCTTATATGTCTTGTCTGAATGTTTGTTATTTTTTATTTAAAGATTTACAAAACTTATTAGGATTATTTATATTATTTATTATTAAAATTACATTAAGTATATTTTATTTATCAGCATTTTCAGGTATCCTTACTTATATGTGTTTCATAATTTTTGCATCTTCAGGGTGGCTTGCTGCACAGTTTACCTTTATCAACTGAAGCGATTTCTGTTGCTGAACCATCTGTTGTAAGTCTTCATTTGAACAGTTATTAAATATTTAGTATTATAAACTTTTTCTAAAAAGTATTAACACTGTTTCTAAAATTTAAAAATATATTAACGTAATATTTACTTATGTTTAAGAAGTATGAATGCTATGAACAGTCCAATGTATTTATGCTTTTTTATAAGTTGAGTTACTTTGAAAATGGTAATGATTATTTGTATTTATTTTTATCCGATCAGAGTTTATAATTTCTTTCACTTCCACATATTTCATATATTATAATTTCTTTTAGGTTCATTTGCCACAACCTTCAGCTTCATATTTTGGAGAAATAAATTTTGCTGCCGAAGTATCTGATGTAAATTGCCATTTTGCACTTCTAAAAAATTTTAATAGTTTTTTTTAACATCTATTCGTAAACTGTACTATTTTTTTTAAATGTTTCCATTTCCATCTTCATAATCATGCACTTTATTTCATTTCACCAGTGGTTGCAAATGTGTACATTACAGTACATCTCAGGTGTGTTTGCAACAACATTTAGCATTACCTTCTGATTAAATAACAGCTGCTAGTAAAGAATCTATTCTATGTTTTCATTTGAGCAGCTATTAAATGTCATATGTTTTACATATATTAATGAATTTTTATACGATTTCTGAAATATGAAATTGTTTGTCTTATGGTTGCTAAACAGCTGTACTATATCTGGCTGTTGTGCTATGGAATTATTTTTGAATTTTGAGTGTTAACAATTTATTATCTATTTATGAATTATAAAATGTTATGTAAAATAATTATTTCTTAAAATGAATGTAGTTTATATTATCTGTATTTCTAAATTTCTTATATATATATTTCAGGTTTGTTTGCAAGAACAAGCTTCAACTTCATCTTGTGATAAAATGCCATCTATTTGTGAAGGATCTCATGTAAGTAGATAATTAGTGTATTATTAAATTGCTTGCTTATACAAAACGTTTCTATTAACTTTTTTTTGGGGGGGGGGGTAAAAGGAATGTAATTAATTTCATCAGCATTTACAAATTCTTTGTGTACATTTCAGGTTTGTTTGCAAGAACAGCCTTTAGCCTCATTTTGCAATGAAATACCATCTATTTGTGAAGGCTCTGATGTAAGTTGATAACTAATGTATAATTAAATTGCTTCCTTATATGCATTTAAAATGTTCTATAAAGTAATTTTTTGGTAAAAGGAATGTAATTAATTTCATCAATAGTTGCAAATTCTCTATGTAAATTTCAGTTTTGTTTGCAAAAACAACCTTTAGATTCATCTTGCAACCAAATTGTAATTAATTTTAATTAATTTCATCAGCATTTGTGAAGGCTGTGATATAAGTTGATAATTTGTGTTATTAAATTGCTCATGATTATGGAGATAATCGATCCCTTGAAAAGCTGGAAATAAATTTTAAAAATCTATTTTTAAGTGAAATAAATTTTAAATATTAGAAAATAAAACAAAAATAATCTAGAAAATGCTGAAAACAATAGAGTCAAATTTAAAAACCCACCACAGTATAGAAAAAGAGACCTGGAACTTGCATTTTTATTTTGTGGATTTATTATCTGTTTAAGTTTGGCATTTAATCCAAAGGGGCTTTGTCCCTGAAGGACTATTGTTTTCGTTTTGTATTGAAACACTATAAACAGCTGCATCACTTTTCAAATTGTTGCCACCAAATATTATCACCCTGTACTATATTTAAAGAAATTATACAGTGAAGAATCTGCATAAATGCATGTATGTTTTTTGCATTCTGATAAAACAACGGTACCTAGAGCCATCAAATTTTGAATGACTTAATTCTACTGTGAATATGGACATCTGGAAGACCGAATTTGAAATTCGGAATTTGTTTTAATATATATTTTATATGTTGTAAAACTTTAACGAATTTTTGATTAACAAACTTGAGGATTTCAAAGCGAGCAAGCAATGGCAATGTTGTACAGAAAAGACACTTTTATCTCCAGCGTGTGAGACAATGAATCGGGAATTCTGAAGATATGTTCATTTTAAAATTATCTTGCAATATTGCTGTTGAACTGAATTTTATAATTTAAGTGTGAAAAACTTGATATTTAATAAATAAAGGTAAAACACAAAATGTTAAAAAAAGGCCCCTTTGGGTGTAATTTAAAATCTGAAACCTTTCAGATCTTTTTTGTTTGTTTGTTGTGTTTCCCCCCCCTTCTTTGATGATTATTCATATAGATTTTTTCTTTATTCCAGGATGTTCTTTTAAGGAATTTTATAAAACAGCAGACTGAATTGATCTCGCTTCTGCAATGCCAGAACAAAATATTACTGAAAGAACTTACAGCAACCAAAAAAAAAAAAAAAAAAAAAAATGAAATTAATGTTTTAAAAAAATGGCATAGCACTGAAATTCAACTTCATGACCTTCAAGTACAGCATGAGGAATTGCTGAAAGGAGTGAAAACATTTCTTTCAGATGAACAAATAGCAATGTTGAAAATTCCTCGTAGAAGCATTGCAAAATGGTCTAACGAGGGAATAATAAAAGGCCTCAAAGTTAGATTTGCCTTGGGCAAGCATGGTTATAATTACTTGCACAGAATAGGTTTTCCTGTGCCTTCATACAGCACTTTAAATAAAAGACTTCAAGGTCTTGAAATGAATTTTGGAGTCATCAGTGAGATGATTGAACCTTTGAAAATTAAAGAGAGAAAAAATGAATGCTAGTGATAAAGACTGTATTTTATCATTGGATGAAATGGAGATTTCTGGCAATCCTGATTTTGATATTTCAAAACGTAAATTTATTGGTAAATGTACATTAGGAAATCAAAAGGGTGCAGGAAATCACTATTTAGTTATTTTACTAAGAGGTTTGAAGCTGAAATGGAAGCAAGTGGTTGCCCATGAGATAACTGGACAGGTAACAGGATGCCAGCTCAAACAACTTGTTGTCAATGTTATCGAAGCTGTCAATTCTGTTGGATTTAATGTTGTTGGTATTGTTAGCGATATGGCAGCAGTAAATAGAAGCCTGTGGAATTCTTTGGGAATATCTGTTTCTCGAAACCAAAGAAAGAAATAATTTCACTACTGAAATTAAGGGCAAAATTATTTATGTATTTGCAGATGTGCCACATCTTTTAAAAAATCTCTGGTCTGCAACTCTTAATCATAGTATAAAACTGCCCAGTTATGTTTGCAATAAAGAAAATTTGGTTACTTTGCATGTATCTGCAGGATTTATAAAAGATATCTGGATTACTGAAACAAACCAAAATTGTGGTTTGAGAACTATGCATCATCTCAGCAAAGAAGACCTCTTCCCCTCACATTTTGATAAAATGAATGTTGCTTCTGCTGTGAGGTTTTTTTCCAATTAAAACAGCTGTGGGATTGGAGAAGGCAGTAGTAGCTTTAAAAGAGATAAGCCCTAATGCTCTTACAACAGCATGGTGGATAAGATTTATATGTCAGTGGTTTCAAATGCTATCCTCTAGATGTAGAAAGAACTCAATTTCTGTGACAAATAAAAGCAAAAAAATTGAGTTACTTTTTGAATTTATTAATGTTATACAGCTTATAGAAATTGGTAAAGGGTGGAAACCATTACATACTGGTTTGATTCTTTCTACTTTATCAGCCATACAGTTAGCAGAGGCATGTTTTCTGAATGATTTTCAGTTTATTTTGACGAGCAGATTGACACAAGATGCTCTAGAAAATGTATTTTCTCAGATACGCAGAAAAGCTGGTTTGAGGCCAAGTGCTTTGCAAGCTGTGAAAGCATTAAAGCTTATCTGTTTATCTCAGTTTATATCTGACATTAAGAACTCCAGTTATGCTACTGATTCAGATATTTACTTATTAAACTATGCGAAAGATGAATTTGAATTTCTGAAGGAAGGAGAAAAAAGCTTTAGAGCCTGTTACCATACCAGAAGTTTCTGATGTATCTCTACAGAATCTCACCCTTAGTGAGGAAAATAACGTCTGTTATATTGCAGGAGCTGCAATAAATTCTGTTTTGAAAAATGCTTGTAATTCATGCTCACAGTTTCTCTTAGTTTGTGAGCAAAATACTCCTTCCATTGATGAAAATAAGCAGTACATAATTAATTTTGCAAATTTAGGTGGGCTTAAATGTCCTTCTCCAGAAATTTTTAAATTGTGCCTTCTGTGTGAAAAAATAATTCAAAATTTTCGAGACGAAATAATACATGGAAATGTAACTATGGATGTGGAATTTGTTAATATGATTTGTAAGAAAGCAGGCGAGGTAAATATTCCCTCCTGTTGCAATATCAAAACAAAGATAATAAAATATTATTTGACTGCCCGTGGAATTGGTCTCAAGAAGCTTCTTCAAAATAAAAGGCAGCAGCGGCAAAGTTTTGCATCTCCTGCTTTTAAAAGAAGAAGAAAGTAAACTAGAATCTAATCAAGAGTTTAAGAAGTTTTTGCTGTTCAGTTCTGTCTGTAAAAAAGTAGAGTAGTTGTCACTGAAAAATTGCTGTTTGTCTCTTCGAATAATAATTAGGCCCACCAACAGCTGAATGGTTAAAGTTACTGAATGCTGGGAGTTCCATCTTCTGTTCTATTTCCGAACAGGCTGGCTGCATGATTGGTTTTTTTGTGGGTTTTTCCCCATGTGTAATGTGAATACAAGCCAGTTCTCCTTAGAAAGTCCTCTACAATAGAAGATCTCATAGTCAGCTAAATCGGATTTACTTTTGTGTGACCTTAAATGAGGCATCAATTGTGAATCTGTTTTGGCATGTTATTAGGAATTTTAAATGAAACATTTATTGCTGTTGTGAAAGAATGATCAACTGATGTTTACCTTACTAATCAATGTCTTATAGTATTGTAATGGCTTGCAGGATTTTTCATAATGGGATGTTGCATATGTTTTACTCTTCTTTTTTACCAAATAAATAGAGTATGTTCCTAATCAGACATTTCTTCTTTTGTACCAGGGTTATATAGTATGATGTGATAATTTGGATTTGTTTATAGAATACATAACAGTATTTTTTGACATTCTAATAGAACCAGTGTATTTTATTTATTTACTTATTGCTTTAAAACAGATTTTGAATCAAGGCTTACTTCCCACCCCCTTTGGGTATGCACATAAAACATGTTTAAGCTATATTTATAATATATCAATGAGATACAGTGGATGGACAAAAATATGGAAACACCTTGTGAAATGCATGTTTGAAAAGAAAGATTGATTTTAATGAAATGTAGGTGGCGCTGGCGTTTTTGACTACTGACGCCACCTATACAACTTCGTAAATGTGCTAAACAGTTCAGTTGTTGTCGGAGTACTGTTATGTGAGGTTGTCATTGCATTATGTCAGAGTTAACAGACTTCGAACGTGGGCAAATTGTTGGAGCACGTATGGTAGGTGCTTCCGTAAGCAAGGTAGCCGAGGTGTTTAGTGTTTCAAGAGGTACTGTATCGAAGATTTATTCCGCATATTTGAAAAGCGGAAAAACATCATCTGCTAAATCACAGGGCGGACGAAAGTGTGTCCTGAGTGATCGTGACAGACGATCATTAAGGGCAATTGTGACGAAAAATAAGAAGACCACAGCTGCAAAAGTTACTGCTGAAATGAATGTTGTGTGTTACCGAACCCTGTGAGTACCAAAACAATTAGAAGGGAGCTTCATAAACAGGGAATTGCTGGCCGTGCTGCAATTGAGAAGCCACTCATCAGTGACGCTAATGCCCGTAACAGGAAAAGGTGGTGTTTAAGTCATAAAGCCTGGACTATAGAGCAGTGGAAGCGAGTAATATGGTCTGACGAGTCTTCTTTCACATTGTTTCCCACTTCTAGCCGAGTTTACGTCTGGAGAACGCCATCTCAAGCCTATAATACAGACTGTTTGTTGCCAAGAGTGAAACATGGCGGGGGTTCTGTTCTGGTTTGGGCAGCCATATCGTGGTTCTCTGCTAGCCCCAAATGAACTGTGTCAGGGCACATGACTGCCAAGACTTATGTGAACATTTTGGCCGATCAAGTTCATCCCATGGTATACAAACTTTGTTCCCCGATGGTGATGGTGTCTTCCAAGACGACAAAGCCCCTGTTCACACAGCTCACATTGTCCAGGACTGGTTTTCTGAGCACGAGGATGAGTTGTCCCATCTCCCCTGGCCACCACAGTCACCAGACCTGAATATTATCGAACCTTTGTGGTCTTAGGTTAGCTCCTTTAATGGAAAAAGAACAAAATAAAAATGATATACCTTGAAAACAAGAATACTATCTGAATAGTGTTGGCTAAAATTTATTCAGATGGTTTTTTGCATTTATTCAAACATCTCCGCATATAAATGAGAATTATTATAAAAGTAAAACTATATAAATTCTATATAAAGCTGTTTGATGTATAATGGAAAAAAATTCAATTACTGCAGTATGTTTTAATAAAATTTGAATATAATAGACTGAATTGCACTACATTAGACCAAAAAGCAAAACATTTTTATTTATTTATCTTTATTTTCACTATATGTGTTTGTCATATGTTTGTTACTAGAGGACTTATTTTATAGATTTGAAGCTAAATAATATTTTTATGTTTTTACTTATGCAAATTAATTAATAAAAAGAACTGTGATTTAAGTATTGTCTTTGCTGTGATATAGATTGAATCTTATTATGTTATGGAATTATCATTTAAATATTCAGATACGTGTAATATTAAGAGCATATGTATGTAAGTATAATTTTTCCAAGTATAATAAAAAGTAACCATCAACAACAAATAAACTTATAAGTAAATAGTATCTGTAAATTCTGTATGTAAAGGTATTATTTTTATTTTTATTTATTTGTGTGTGTATTATTTTAATATTGTTTATAGCTAAATAAAGGGAAAAAAAAAAAATGGAATTTTTTTTTTACTCTATTAAATCTATGAATCCCACAGTCATCTGAGCATTGAAGTAATTTTTATAGCATTCTGCACTTCATTCTAAAAGCATTATAATTTAAAGGTGTATATCTTGAATCAGTATTTAAAATCATAAAGTGTTTAGCAGCTTTTTCTGGAAACACACACAAAATAACATTTTTAACAAATTTGCTACAGTAATAGACGTTTGATTCCATGTGAGCAAAATTCAAATAACATATTAAAATAAAAAAACAAAAATTAAAGATTAAACCTTATCCTAAATTAATGGAGGTTGAGGGATTTCCCTCAACCATATTAAGAATGTGGTTGAGGGAAAGCTCTTGTCAAAAAATACATTTTGAGATAAATAACATTATGCGTGTATTTAAAAGAAAAAATTGAAAATTCAATAAAGGAATTCAAAAAGAAAGCATTTTTAACTAAAAATACAAATTTGAAATATGATATGTGAAAATGTTTTAGAAACTTTTAAAATAACTTGAATCATACGAGAAATTTGGCAATTTAAAAAAAAAAAAAAAAATACGAGAAAGAATCTGAACTGCAGACAAAAGAAGGGGAAAAAGCCACACATCTTTATAGGAGTGCAGCAGAAAAAAGCTGAAATTCGGATTCTCTAGAATGTTAAATTTTAGCGGACAGCGCTAAAGAGCCAAAGTTGCCGCTCCACACCTAAATTGCAACCCTAAAGCTTAGATTCAAATGGCGACGCGCTACTTAGTAGCTCTCGCTAAATGTTGCATTAGCCGCAGTTGTAATTGATATTTGGGTTCAGTTTTGTACATAAG